GCACTGCTGAACAGAAGTATTTGAATACCTAAGAAACAGCAAGAATTCTGGCTCCCAAAGACCTGTTACTGTGCCTTTAAAAAGTCCACCTCTACTCCACTCATTAATCTAACTTAGTAGCACCTGTCTGAGCTCTTTAAAGACACCTGTCCACCCCACAGTCAGTCAGACGCCAACTACTACCATGGGCAAGACTAAAGAGCTGTCAAAAGACACCAGAGACAAAATTGTGGACCCCCACAAGGCTGGAAAGGGCTACGGGGCAATTGCCAAGCAGCTTGGTGAAAATAGATCAACTGTTGGAGCAATTGTTAGAAAATGGAAGAGGCTAAAGATGACTGTCAGTCTCCCTCGGACTGGGGCTCCATGCAAGATGTCACCTCGTGGGGTATCACTGATGATACGAAAGGTGAGGAATCAGCCCAGAACTACAAGGGAGGAGCTGGTCAATGACATGAAGAGAGCTGGGACCACAGTTTCTAAGGTCACTGTCGGTAGAACATACGCCGTCATGTTTTCAAATCATGCGTTGCATGGAAGGTTCCCCTGCTCAAGTCATCACATGTCCAGGCCCATCTGAAGTTTGCCAATGACCATCTGGATGATGCAGAGGAGGCATGGGAGAAAGTCATGTGGACAGAGGAGACCAAAGGAGAACTTTTTGGTCTAAACTTCACTCGTCATGTTTGCAGGAAAAAGAAGGATGAGTTGCATCCCAAGAACACCATCCCTACTGTGAAGCATGGGGGTGGTAACATCATGCTTTGGGGGTGCTTTTCTGCGAAGGGACAGGACGACTGCACTGTATTAAGGAGAGGATGAATGGGGCCATTTATTGTGAGATTTTGAGCAACAACCTCCTTCCCTCAGTCAGAGCATTGAAGATGGGTCGTGGCTGGGTCTTCCAACATGACAACGACCCGAAGCACACAGCCAGGAGAACCAAGGAGTGGCTCCGTAAGAAGCATATCAAGGTTCTGGAGTGGCCTAGCCAGTCTCCAGACATAAATCCAATAGAACATCTTTGGAGGGAGCTGAAACTCCGAAACATGACAGATCTAGAGGAGATCTGTGTGGAGGAGTCGGCCAAAATCCCTGTTGCAGTGCAAACCTGGTCAGGAACTACAGGAAACGTCTGACCTCTGTAATTGCAGACAAAGGCTTCTGTACCAAATATTAACACGGATCTTCTCAGGTGTTCAAATACTTCTGTTTAGCAGTGCGAGACAAATACATTCTTTACAAATCATACAATGGGATTTCCTGAATTTGTTTTTTAAATTCTGTTTCTCAGAGTGGGAATGCACCTACAATGTGAATGTCAGACCCTCCATGATGGAGAAGTGGGAGAACTTGCAAAATCACAGGGGGTTCAAATACTTCTGTTCCTCACTGTACACACATTCTCAAACATAGGAGTATAATTAAGTGTGCATAAATGCGCTACATGGACGCACAGGCACGCCTGCCACAGATTCTTGCTCCTGATGGCCTATTTAAACCTGAGCCTGCATGATTTCATTATTGGATGGACTTCAGCTTATGCTCTGGTGACCCTTGTTCTTGAATGCTTGCTTGATCCTTTTACTGACCCAGCTACGTCTGAGTCTACTCTGAATTTCAGTTGCTCATGTCTGCTACTCACCCTTGTGAATCTTAGTTGAATGTCAGCCTGGAGTTTTCACTGAGATTCTGCCTTCTGATTTTGTTCTTTGCTGCCAGCACGTTGCTGACCCTCGCCTGTCTCTGACCTGGATTCTGATTCTGGATTACAGAACTCGGCTTGTGAACTGACTCCACACTTCTGCTCATCTGACCTCAGTACTTCAATCACAAGTTCGCTGATCCATCTTCCTGGCACCTGCACCCTTCCACTATTATAGCAGTCCCTGCCTCCACTATCAGGGGTGCTTGGATGACAATTGTTTAACCACTTCCCGACCGGCCGCTGTATATAAACGGCCAGACGGTGGCACTGCAGGGTCGGGTGGCCGTTTATAAACTGCTTGTGCGCGCTCCCCGGGAGCGCACATCACCGTGATCCGGTGCCCGCTGTGTCCTCCGGACACAATGGAACACAGATCGTCGGACGGGACCTCTGTACGAGGTCCCAATCATGTGATCACTGATTGGCCAATCAGTGATCACATGCAAAGTGGTAAGCAAGATGTCACTTGTGACATCATTGCTTACTACGTGTGAAATCTGTGAATGATCACAGAGGTCACATGGTACAGGGCCATTCACAACAGCCTTGTACCATGTGACAAGCTGTGACCAATCACAGCTCACTCAGTATTTCTCAATGGCTGCAAGAATGCAGCCAGAGAGGAGAAATGATTGCTTTTACATCCTATATGGGTGTAAAAGCAATCAGTGTAAAAAAGAAATAAAAAATCTTCATCACCCCACAAAAGTAGTACAGGGTTACAGGGTAGTACAGTATGTAACGGAATAAATTTTGGCCAAGATTTATGATGAAATATTATTTATTTGCAAAATTTTATAAGAAAAAAACTTTTTTTTTCAAAATTTTTGGACATTTTCATTTACATAGCAAAAAAAATAAAAATCACAGCGGTGAATAAATACCACCAAAATAAAGTTTTATCTGTCTCAAAAAAATGGTGAAAAATTAATATGGGTGCAGTGTTGCATGACCGCGCAATTGTCATCCAAAGTGTGATAGCGCTGAAAACTGAAAATTGCCCTGGACAGAAAGGGGGTGAAAGTGTCCGGACTGGAAGGGGGGGAAAGTGTCCGGACTGGAAGGGGGGGGGGGAGTGTCAGGACTGGAGGGGGGGAAAGTGTCCGGACTGGAAGGGGGGGAAAGTGTCAGGACTGGAAGGGGGGGAAAGTGTCAGGACTGGAAGGGGGGGAAAGTGTCCGGACTGGAAGGGGGGGAAAGTGTCAGGACTGGAAGGGGGGGAAAGTGTCAGGACTGGAAGGGGGGAAAGTGTCCGGACTGGAAGGGGGTGAAAGTGTCCGGACTGGAAGGGGGGGAAAGTGTCCGGACTGGAAGGGGGTAAAAGTGTCTGGACTGGAAGGGGGGGAAAGTGTCCGGACTGGAAGGGGGTAAAAGTGTCTGGACTGGAAGGGGGGGAAAGTGTCCGGACTGGAAGGGGGGGAAAGTGTCAGGACTGGAAGGGGGGGAAAGTGTCCGGACTGGAAGGGGGGGAAAGTGTCAGGACTGGAAGGGGGGGAAAGTGTCAGGACTGGAAGGGGGGGAAAGTGTCCGGACTGGAAGTGGTTAAGAGTCTGCCGTTGTCATCTTGAGCTCCATTGATAGGTAAGTGACATTGAGGTCTTACCTGATTGGTGATCAATAGCTAGGTGGTAGCAAACTGCTGTGGTGCTGCTGAGAGGTCATTTTGGAAAGGTCAATGTCAGAAAGTGGTTGTCCTACCCACTGGCCATCATTTAATGTAAGTGAAAATAGGGTCTCATGGCCAAAAAACTATCAAAGCAGTTTTGCAGGTTTGGAGGGATCTGCGGTAGACAGGGATGTTAAAAAAACAGGTCCCCTCCTATGCTGATACTGGGTCCCTGCCCAGATCACCCATGCTAATCCTAGTTATAGCAACCGCTGCTTCAGGAGTTATGGCCATCATGGAGATGTCCTTCACATTTGGTGGATGTGCCCACAAGTAATAAGCTTTTGGTCCCTGGTCTTTGGCCTGTTGAGTACTTTGTTTCACCTGTCGATCCATAAGGATTCTAAATTGACTTCTTTACATTGCCCTATCCTGGGTCTACATGCCCACCAAAAGAAGTTGGCTTTGTACCTTTTCCTGTCAGCCATGAGAACTATAACTCAAGCCTGGAAGAAACATGTGGTCCCATTCCAGGGTGTCAAAGACTGAATGACAGCTGTAATCATTAATGAACATTTGGGAACCTTGAATCGAATATGCTTTTTCCTCATTACACCCAGCTAGTACTGGCAGCTTACGATTGCTGGCATGGCGGTCCTGAGCCCATGGTTCCCCACTCCTTCACTATGTCTGCCTTCCTTTCTGCTCTTTCCTCATCTTACCGTATGGGTAGGGGTGGACTGACCATTTGGAAACTCGGGCACTGCCCGAGGGCTTGGGGTCAGTAGGGACCCAATGAGATGCCCTTGGTACCTTATTCATAGGCTTTTGTGAGTTTGGGCAAGGACACAGGGGCCCCATGATCCCCTATTGCCCGTAGGCCCCATGAGTTGTCAGTCCGACCATGCTTATGGGTCCCTCGACCCCCAATCTCTCTTTCTACTGTTATTCTTTATTTGCACTGGGTACCTTTGCTGGAAAAACCCACCACCCGGCTCATATGTCACTATGTTTTGGGGTTCTCCATTTGGGCTCCCTGGTTACTTGATATGTTTCTTTGTTTTGATTTCTGTTGGCACCTTTTTTGATTTTTATTACTGGATGCTCTTTTCTTAGCCCCTGCATGGGTGATTTTTGTTACCTTGGAAAACCTAATACCAATCATCGAACAAAAAAAACCAGGGGTCCATCTGATGGTATGGTGATTTCCTTCCTAGTGCTGGTTGTTCGTCAAGGGGCCTGTACCCATAGTCAACGTTAAAAAAAAAATTGAATTTTGAAGCTGTCTTCAAGCTGTTTGAATGCTGCCGAGGCCAGGAGTGAATCTTAGTTAGGTTCACTACTGAGGTCCATGTATCTCCTTTTTTCTGGCTCCCACAGAATTTGGTTGTTTAAAGGATATTTTTTTTTAAAAAGGAGTAAGTGCCCCCCACTACCACCAAATACATGGGCCCCAGTGGTCTTTACACCAAAAACAATCCTCCCTGCTTCTTTAAACACCTTCCACCCGCCCTATAGTACAATGACGGGCGCAAGGTGGTTCTCTCGTTCTGATAGGACGTCATATAACATCCTACCATTCTCACTGCGCATGCGCGGCTCAGGGAGCGCGCAGCGCTGCGATCGCCAGTGCGCTGTGTCCCTTGGACATAGCGGATCACAGAAAGAACCGAAGATGTTGGCTTGGTCATGTGATCAGCTGTGTCCAATCACAGCTGATCACATGTAAACAGGGAAATGCCGGTTATCGGCATTTCTCTCCTCTCGAGCTGTCACACTGACAGAGGAGAGGAGAGCTGGTAATCGGCATTCCGCGGAGGGGACATGTACACTGATCATAAAGGCACTGATGATCAGTGTGCCCTGATGATCAGTGTGGCCCCAGAAGTGCCACCTGTCAGTATCCATCAGTGCCACGTGCCACGTGCCACGTGCCAGTGCCCATCAGTGCCTCATCAATGCCACATATTAGTGCATACCAGTGCACATCAATGCCACATATCAGTGCCCATCTGAGCTGCCTTTCAATGTCACCCATCAGTGCCAGTCAGTGCCACCTATCAATGCCAATCAGTGCCACCTATCAGTGCTGCCAATCAGTGCCACCTATCAGTGCCAGTCAGTGTTGCTTATCAGTGCACATCAGTGCCAGTCAGTGTCGCCTATCAGTACCAGTCAGTGGCGCCTATCAGTGCCAGTCAGTGCCGCCTATCAGTGCCAGTCAGTGCCATCTATCAGTGCCAGTCAGTACCACCTATCAGTGCCGCCTATCAGTGTCATGTATCATTGCTGCCTTTCAGTGCCCATCAGTGATGCCTGTCAATGGCCATCAGTGCAACCTACCAGTGCCTCCTCATCAGTGCCCATCAGTGCCACCTATCAGTGTCCATCAGTGCAGCCTATCAGTGCCCATCACTGCAGCCTCATTAGTCACATCAGTGAAGGAGAAAAATCACTTATTTACAAAATTGTATAACAAAAACTAAGAAAAAATGTTTTGTTTTTTTTAAATTTTCAGTGGATTTTGGTTTGTTTAAGAAAAAATAAAAAACCCCGAGGTAATTAAATACCACCAAAAGAAAGCTCTATCTGTCTCAAAAAAATGATAAAAATTTCATATGGGTACAATGTTGCATGACCGCGCAATTGTCATTCAAAGTGTGACAGCACTGAAAGCTGGAAATTGGCCTGGGCAGGAAGGGGGTGAAAGTGCCCGGTAGGCGAGGGGTTAAAATCTGCCTTGGCTGTCATTATTGGCTTTCATATTGACCTCTTTCTGGGGATCCAGTCCATCTCTATTACCTCAATACCCCGGCTCAATTGTATAATAAAACAGACTTTTATTCTGTTTGAGATTCTGACAGTTACTAAACTATTTTACCGCCTTGCCGAAGAGCTAGAGAGAACGGGCTTTTTTATAAGGTAATGCACATTATGTATGAATATTTGATTTATCTTCGGCATAATCCTGGAAGAGAGCGCTTTACAATTCACAATGTTTTGTAGAAAAATATCTAGAAAATCAAAAGGAGAAACATAAAACTGAATCAGAGAAATGCATAAAACATGGGCTGAAAACAGCTTAAAATAAAGATAGCTTTACCTGCAGGAAGAAGCGTAACACAGAGCTGGAACACACTTTCCTGGACTAGATTATGAGGGATATGTGGGGGCAGTGCACCCAAACTGACCCCCCCGAGAGAGCCTCTCTTGTGAGATACCTCCCCAACAAAATCATAGCCCTTCCCAGGAGAATATTCATTGTGATTGTTGTAGGCAGGATGCCTACAGTTAGCGTTTTTGGTTTTAGTAAGCTTGGTGGTCTGCCCAGACTGGGAAGGGGTTAACTGGGTTCAGACTCCTTTCCCTGGCTTTTTTGGCCCTGCCTTCCTTCCTTGTGCATATTTAAGAAGGGGTAAGGCCGGGTTCGGGAGCTGCCGTTGGAGCCACTCATAGGACACTGAGGAAGGGCTGCTGCGCCATATAGTCCTGGAATCCCAGAGCATCTGCCAAGCTGTTGGAGGGCACCAGTCATGGACTAACACCTTTTTTAAGGTATGCCTGGGCAGTCCCAGTTAGTCAGAGATGGAATGGCCTTTCATTTGTTTGTAAATTGCCATGGGAAGTGTTTCAGTAAAAGTTTTTGAACGTTCTAAGCCTGGTCTGAAGTTATTCAAGGGGTGCGTGATAACATATGGCGTATCAGAAGAACAGGTCCTGTATAGCACAAAGGGGGTATAAAGCAGAGCCACTACGAAGAATTAACTCGGCAGAAGAGTTAGAGTTGGAGAAATGTTGCCACGAGTCACCAAGAGCTAGTGGAAAGTGTGAAGGAACCAGTCATGAAGCATCCTTAGGTATCGAGGGGGTCGGTGATCCGACTCCTTCCCTATCGGTCGCTTCCCCAAAAGTAACCAGGACCAAACCCATGGTATGGAGACCCCACAAACCTAGCCGCATGATATGGGAGAGTGAAGGAGTTAGTGAGAACTGGCTCCTTCCCTATCGCTCGCTTCCCCAAAAGAAACCAGGTCTAAACCCATGGTATGAAGACCACACTATTTTGTTTATTTATTTATTTTACACTCTTATTTTTTATTATTCATTTTTATACCTTTTTAGGAGCCTCATTGGGGGGCGCCGTCCTCAATCTCCATCTCTGCAGCCTCAGCTTCACAGAATGAATGGACTGCAATAGCTCTGTATAGAGCTTCATGTTCATTCACAAACAGAAGCATAGTAAACACAGTTTACTATGCTTCAGTTATGAATGAACAGAGTCATGAACATAGAGGGATCACTGACTATATTCATTAAGGAAAGGAAGGGACTGGTAAATGACATGTTTACCAGGCCCCTTCCCCACTTTCCATCCTGACACATCCCCCACAGCAGCCAGCAGTAGAGAGCAGGGGGGGAGATGGCAGAGTTGCCGGGGAACGAAGCGAGGCAGAAGAGCACACAGTGGGGCAGAAAAGCATACAGCGGGGACAATGGACAATGCAAGAGCTCTGTATAGAGCTTCATGTTCATTCACAAACGGAAGCATAGTAAACACAGTTTACTATGCTTCAGTTATGAATGAACAGAGTAATGAACATAGAGGGATCACTGACTCTATTCATTAAGGAAAGGAAGGGACTGGTAAATGCCATGTTTACCAGGCCCCTTCCCCGCTTTCCATCCTGTCACATCCCCTACAGCAGCCAGCAGTAGAGAGGAGAGGGGAAGATGGCAGAGTTTCAGGGGAACGAAGCGAGGCAGAAGAGCACACAGTGGGGCAGAAAAGCATACAGCAGGGCAGGAAAGCACACAATGGGACAGGACCTTACACAGCAGGGCATAGGTGGAGGCAGCATGAAGAGAAACCAATCCTCTAGAAATTGAGCCTAAGGGAGGGAGAGGAGGAGAAATAGGCTTTCAGCAGCTGAATGAGAGGATCGATTTGTCTACATGCAGCCCCCCATCGCCCCTCCTATCCAGATGTATAGTGGGGCCACACGGGCTCCCTGGAGCATGGGGCTGAGTTGCAATTGCGAACCCTGTAGTTACGCCCCTGCTTGTGACAAGTTCTGTGTCTGGGGCCAAGGCTTGCACTGCCTTGCTGGAGGTGGTTGCACCAGGGAGGAACTTCATCTGAAGCTGCCCAACAAGTTGGAGCTTGGCTTGGTCTTCACAGGGAGTCTGATGTCTCACCCAGGGAGCCTGTGCTGATTCTCCTCTATGGTTGAGTGTTCTAGAATAACAGGAAGCCAGCTTGGTTTAAAAGTCATTTTTATTTTTGGGGGAAGGTACAGTTTAACACACCTACCGACCCAACAATTATTATTATTATTATACAGTATTTATAAAGCGCCGATAGTTCGCTCAGTGCTGTACATTACAAAGGGGGACAGAACATGTGACAGAACAATAGCAATACAATGCAAAACATGATAGGATTGAGGGCCCTGCTCTTTCGAGCTTACAATCTAGGAGGGAGGGGATGGTGGCACAGGAGGAGAAAGTTGTGGGGGATGGTGTCAGGGATCTCTCCGATCCCCGCCGCGATGGTCCCGGTGCAGGCGCAGTGCACCGCCCTGTGCAGGGACACGGGTACTAGGTCCGGGCCGGCCACGGCGTTCGAGTTCGTGCATGCGCAGTAGAAGCCGCGGCCGCCCGCTGGGCACCACTGGCAGCGCAGGGCGGGATATTTAAATGGCCCTGAGCTGTCATTCAGTGCCTTCTGGTCTTCCCTGCATCCTGTGAACCTGTGAATTGTAAGTTGTGACCCGGATTGTACCTGACCTTGCTGTTTTCTTCTATCCTGACCCTTGCTTTGCCTGACCTCTCTCTTGAATGCCCCTGATTGGATTTGACCTGCTGTTGCTGACCTGGCGTGTGACCCGACCATTCTATGCCCGCTGCCTTGTACCTTGCCATCCTCTCTGTTACCGACCCGGCCCGTCTGACCTTGCTCATCCATCCATCCATCCCTTGCAGTGGGGTGTAAATCTTCTGACCTCCTCACATCAGACTCTTCCCCGCGGGAGCCCTTGGCGCATACCACTAACACTGCCGGACGCACCCAGTAGCCACGACCTGGTCTCGGGGGGCTCCAAGTCCATCCCCACCATCAGGGGCCCTGGTGAACAAGCACCCTGGGACTTAGATTCCGTGCGCTGGGGACGCCTATTCAGTGGAGTGCTAGTGGTACCGCCAGGCGGTCCCTTACAGTACCAGAAGGCCATGACTGAGTCTAGAGGAGGGCCCTCGCCGCTTGAGGAGATCTGCAGGCACCTGTCTAATTTGACTCAGGCCGTATCGGCCCTGCAGGATAGATGCCAGCAGATTGAAACCCAATTCCAGACCTGCACTATATCCGTTCCTGCCCCACAGGCCGCGGTCCCCGCACCCCCAGCCGTAGCAGCCCCTGTGCTGGTTTCTGGGGCTTCCGCACCACTCCCGGGGGCCGACCCCCGAGTACCCTTATCGGAACGTTTTCATGGGGACCGCACACGCTTCAGGTCATTCCGTGAGTCCTGTCTTCTTTATTTTGAGTTACAACCCCGGACCTTCGTGACTGAATCCATGAAGGTGGGGTTCGTCATCTCCCTCCTGCGGGGGTGAACCCCAAGACTGGGCCCACCGATTACGGGGAAAAAATGACCCTCACCTTAGTTCGATTGACATTTTTTTTGACGCCATGGCCATCCTGTATGATGACCCGCAGCGGGCAGCTTCTGCTGAAGCTACTTTGTACACGCTCCGGCAAGGCCGCCGAGCGGCGGAGGAGTACGCGTCTGAGTTTAGGAGCTGGATGGGGGACACACGCTGGAACGAATTCGCACTCCTGCATCAGTTCCGTATAGGCCTATCAGAAGGTCTGAAGGATGAGCTCGCCCGGGTGGAGGTGCCTGAGACTTTAGAGGACTTAATAGCACTGACCATTAAAATTGACCGTAGACTGCGGGAACGCAGGTTTGAGAGGTCCGGCCAGGGTCAAGGAAATTCCTGGGGGTCTTTTCAAGGTCCCAGTCAAGCACCTAGGCCAAACGTCCAGAACCGGCCACCTGGAGATATCCCTGAACCCATGCAACTCGGCCTGGCACGGCCTAAACTA